TGGGAGCAGTTACACCCCCTTGCCCTCCACTGGTGCTCCAGAGAGCACCTGCTGCAGCCTTGTCAGCAATCACAGGCTGGGCAGGCTGGGGCTTGCTCTGCAGCTGTGTGGGAGGCTGCAAAGTCAATCCCAGAAGGCTCAGGTTTGGGGGGGGCTCATTAGGAAGATGAAATCTCCCTGGGAGAAGTTGAGGGCATGCCATGGCATGATATCAGCATTGTCTTAAGGTTGAGGTGGAGAAGGCATTCTAGCCCCACTGTCCTGCCCACACCCGGGCTGTTGACTCTTGCCTCCCTGAATTACTCACTCCTCTGTTTCAGCTGGATGTCAGAGTCTTCCCTGCATCCTCTCCCAAACTGCCAGGATAGCATTGTCTTGGACTCCTAAACAACTGTCCTGCTCCACCATACAGGGGTTTGCACGGAGTCCCTTCAGCCTATTACTGGGAGGTGTTTGCAGTGAGAGTTGTACACTCGGGTGCCAGTAATCAGGTTAGAGCATGGCCAGCTGTTCCATGAACTGTCCAGGAGTCTGACCTCAGAGGAAGGTCTCATAATTTACTCTAGGAAAACGGTAACCTTGTTAGTGCCGGCCTGTAAAGTCTGGGGCGGAAACCCTGATGGGGAGGTGGTGAAGGATCCCTGGCTGAAATGCACAGGGCTGGCACATGGCGGCACTGTGGCTGCTCTGTAGAGTCACAGCTGCAAAAACAATCTGAGATGGTCTTTTTTACCAGGCTCGGGGAAGGATGTGGCAGGGTGAAACGCACCAGGCAGGGTGGGAAGTAGCCAGGGGTCAACAAGCATGTGTAAAAGAAGTCAGCTCCATTGGACTGCCCCCCGTCACACATGCAACAGCACGCTCTGCAGTGGCAGCTGGCCAGGGGCACGGGAAGCCCCAAATTCCCCATCTCTTTGCTTAGGAGTGGCCGGTGTGAGTGTCTGTTGGTGCAGTCAGGGTCACACCTCCATTTTTGCTGCTCACTGAGTCAGATTGGTAGGACAATTGCTCCAGCCCCACTCTCCCTTTTTGTCTTAGCTGGGGAGGGGGATATCTCAATGGCTCAGGCCCTAGTTATCCACTGCTCTTTGTCCCTAAGCCAGACAGTGCCCAGGCCCCAGAGTCCCCCTTTGGCCACCATCCAGGTTGGAGTGATGAAGGGATGGCTCCAGGCCCAGGCTTCAGCTGCCCTCAAGTCCCTGTGCTGCAGGACCCCTGGCTGGACAGATTGGTGGCCAACCTTCCTCTGCCCCACAGATCGGGCCCCCAACACTGCTGCTGTATGTGGACGCTGGGAAAGACACCATGGTCAAGCGCCTGCTGAAGCGGGGGGAGACCAGCGGTCGGGCAGATGACAATGAGGAGACGATTAAGATGCGCCTGGAGACCTACTACAAAGCTACGGAGCCGGTCATTGCCTTCTATGAGAGCAGAGGGATTGTTCGGAAGGTGAGTCAGCCCTGGGATCCTGGGATCCTGGGCTCCAACTGGGCCAGGGACAGACTCTGGGACCGTGACTGGTTTTTCCAGCCCTTCTGCCCGTCACTATTGTACCGAGACCCTGCAGAGCTGATGTAGGCTTGGCTGGCTCTAAGCCAGTCGCCATCTGCATGTCTCACTGTCTGGGGATTCCCAGGGGCTATGGGGGCAAGATGCACATGGAGAGGCCTCTGACCCCAGCCTGTCGCAGAGCACATGGTGTTTGAGGCTGATTACCAAGACTTCAATGAGGATTGGCCAAGGAGGAGGGGGGCTACTGAGTCATGGGCCCTAGGGCGGAAGGAGAAGCATCAGGGGGCTTTCTGAGCCTGATAGAGGTAGTTGGAAAGCTACCAGTGCCAGGAAGGTGGGGGAGCCCGGATACAGAGAAGGGTCAGGATGGGCTTGGAGGGAGGCAGGGAAGGAGGGGGGCAGACCTGGAGGAACAGGGGCTGCTGTGAGGTATGTGGTGGTGGTGGGAAGGGCAGGAGTTGCCCCCAAACCAATTAGGTAAATGTTAAGTTATCACCCAAAGCTTCGCAGGCTTCTCCAAGTCTCTGCTGGTTCCTCACTCTGATGCCCCCTTTCCTCCCTCCCCAATCCAGGGTCCAAACCTGCAGGAATTTAAATCAGGCCTGAGATGGATCCCCTGGGAGTGCTCCAAGGGACAGCCTGCTCCCCCATGGAATGGGCCACTTGGCCCTGGGGCCCTGGGCCAAAGAAATCCCCTGTGCAACCCCATAAACTTCATCAGAGTTACCCCCAAGGCAGGTTTTGGCCCAGTGTCCTGAGCTCTGTCCTTGAGCTCAGCCTAGCTGGTACGTGCAGCACAGCTATCATGGCCGTGACTATGACATGCATTCGGTGGCAGGGGGCTTAGCCTGCATTCGGATGGCCCAAGGCCTGGGCAGTGCCCAGCTGGGTCTGTTTTGAGGCCTGGTCCCTAATGGCTCCCTCCTGTTCCAATCCTGCAGCTGAACGCAGAAGGCACTGTGGACGACGTCTTCAAACAGGTCTGCACTCATCTGGACACCTTGAAGTAAAGTGGGAAGGGGCCCTGCCTCCCCCCAGCCTCCCCTCTCACTCTCCTTCCCCCCAGAGAGCACTACAGACCCCCTTGCACTGTACTCAGAGCTGAGCCACGGCCCCCCCGCCCCCAGCACAGAGAGCCAGTGAGCATCTTCTCCCGCCCTGTCTCTCATTCCAGCTCAATGGCAGAGACAGCGGAAGTGGCTTTATCCTGTTTTCATGGACAGAGCCCCAAGGAGGAAATTTCAAGGACATTGTGTTTGGCTCCTTCCCCTCTCCCTGCAGTAAAGTTCACTTGAATGAGCCCAGACTTTATCTTTTTCTTCTGCAGCAGGAAATGAGTTTTTCTTTCCAGATATTTTACACCCCCCCCCGGCCCCTTCCACCCCTCCCTGAGGTTGATTAAGGGCAGGAAGTAGCCTGTTTATCCCACTCGACAGCACCAGCAGGAGGAGAGGGAACTGCTTCAGGACGGGGCAGGCGTGTGTGGGTGGGGTGGATGCTCCGACAAGGCAGGCAGTTTGCATGAGCTTTCATGTCGTGGATTTTTGAATGAAGCACAGAGAAATCCTCACTGGAGCCAGGTCTGAGTGAGACCCTCCCAGTCCACAGACATGCAGTAGCATAGACACTGCTTGGCCCTCAATCCACACTGCTCCCCACAATGGATGGGGGAGACAGCGGTTAGCCATGGCTGGGATGACTCCACTGTGAAGCATCCTTTTGCCCCCCTGTCTCTTCCACTGCCCACTGCAGTGTAGCCTGCCTGGAACCAGGACTTGCCAGCACTGCCAGCAAGGGGCAGGGGCCAGAAAAATCCCTGCCCTCAGTCACAAGGGCACAGTCTGACCAGGAGCCTGGTTGCCCTGAGGCTTTGATGCATCCCCTGTCTCCAGGGCAGGTGCTTGAGGCTGAAGTGTGTCTCCGCTGAAAGCCCTTCTCTGCCTGCTTTTGCACCCCCTTCTCATGGCTTCTGAGTGCTCTGTGGGTTGGCCGGCTCCTCTCAGCACCATGCCGAATTAAACACTGTGCCTCCTTCTGTCTCTGTCTTACTGAGCTTTTTACTGACACCAACCCATGAGAATCTCTTATGCTCCCCACTCTCACACCCAGGAGTTTCTCTTACATTCCCTCTGTCAAATACATGTGCACAAGAGTCTTATGTCTCTCCTTCCTTACACACACAGAGGAGTTTCTCATGCTCCCTCACACACACACACACAGTCTTCCTCTCCCTCTCATGCATTTTAGTTCTAACTCTTCCTCCGGTTTTATTTTTTTGGTTGTTTTTTTTTTTTTCTAACAATGGTGAAAACCATGAGTACTTACAAAGAAAAAATCTTCCCAACCCCCAAGTCTTAACGGTGGCAGGGTGCACCTGCTGCCCGAATGTACAGCACCACGTTGTTATTAAAAAGAGTGGCTGAAACCTGGTTTGAGGAGTGAGCTGTGCCTTTATGTTTGGGGCTGGGGGAGTGGAGCACTGACGTGTGCCTGTTATCGGGACCTGCCATCCTCCCCGGTTGTGACGCTGTCTTTTTTTCACCAGAAAGGAGCCTGACTCTGCCTGGGGGTGGGAAGGGGCTGGTAAAGGTGAATTCCCCCCAGCATGATGCCAGGGCATGCCATCTGGCAAGTGGCACCATCTTCCAGCTGCTACGGACACTGAGGCTTGCTGTCCTGGTGACATGGTGCTCACATTTGATTTCCTGTGTCCAAGGAGACTCTGCAAGGATGGTCACTTCCACCCCTTAGCACTGCCAGGGCCCTGAGGGAGAGCCCCTTCTCCCTCCTTAATGGGCCTTGTTTTCTTTGCTTGGATGGAGGGCAGTCATGGGCAGGGGCTCTTGGTTGTACCCCAAGCGTGAGCCAAGGTTAGTGGGAGAACCTATATAGAGCTTCTGTCCTCCTGTGCCATTGACATCAGCCTGCTGTAGAGGGAGGGAGCTGATGAGATGCTGGGCATCCACCAGCCAGGAATAGGCCAGCACACCAAGCAGACCCCGCTCCGGAGAAAAGGCTGGGGTGAGTTGGTGCCACCTCCCACCCCACAGTTGCTGGCTGAGTTGGTGCCACATCCCACGCCGCATTGTGCTGCCACTCCCAGGCTGGTCCACTGGGCTGCTGTGGCTGAGCAGCAACGGTCATGAACCAGGGCTGAGTGCAAATGGGAGGGCTTCGTGGGCCCGATCCGTGGCCCATTGAAGTCAGCCAGGCCCTTGCTTTGGACTTCAAAGGGCTTTGGATTGGGCCCTGCTTGGGACAGAGAGGATGCCGCACAGCAGGCCGCCGGGACTTGAGCAAAGCCAAGGTCGGGAGAAAGGAGGCTGTCTGAAAGAAGCAGGAGTTGCTGAGATGGTGACAAGGAAGGAAGCCAGTACTACAAACGTGCTCCGAGAGCCGGCTCCGCATACGTGGCTGATGAGCCCGGCTCATAAACAGGAACAGCAAGTGGGGCCTTGACAAGCAAATCACCCCTGGCTGGGCGCTGCCCGGGCCCGGGCAGACACAGCACGCGCCTGGAATGCCGGACGGGAAGGATGTGGCCCGTCCGGTGGGGGGACACATTCCACCGAAGGCAGCGCCGGCGGCCGTGGGGCAGGTGGCCAATGGATGCCGCAGGCAGGGGGAGTGAGGCCGGCGTCCCAGGCAGCGTGTGCTCCCCAGGGGACCGTGCAGCCAGGGGCAGGTGGCAGTCTGCAGGCCTGCACTTTTGGAAGAGTGTTGCAGTGTCCTGCTGTCACCGCGGTGGAGCTTGTGCAAAGGCATGGAAGTAGATGAAGGGCCTGGTGTGTTGCAGCCAGGGGAGCCAGCCAGGAGTAGCAGACAGGGAACCTGGTCCTCCCACTCCAACCTGCTGCCTCATCCTGAAGCCCCCAAACCTGGCCTTCCTCCGCCCCCCAGCAATGAAGTGGTCAGAGCAGTCAAGAGGTGCTGGCTTCTACCCAGGCTCTGACACTGGTGACCTGGAGCAAGCTGCTTCCCCAGCCTGTGCCTCAGTTTCCTCTGCTGTGCTACTGCTGAGTCAAACAACTTTGCTGAACCTGTGTCACTGTGGGGATAGGGGAAGCTGGGTGGGCCCTGGTGCGGGAAGAGTTAACAGTGCCCTTCTCCTGCCCAGCACAGGTGCTTGCTGTTACTGGGATTGCTCTGGAGGCTGGGCCCTGGGGGGAACAAGCAGCTGGATTTCCACAGAGGCAGCTGCATTATCAGGCTCTCCAGACAAAGGGCTGAGCAAGGAGCCTGGGTGAGGTAGTTCTTCCATTAACAATTTGTTTGCCCTGTCGGGGAAATTGGCCAGCTACTGCGTAGCACCCATACACCGAAGGGTGTGCTCATATACTGAGGAGCACTGGCCACGTCCTGTCTTTGGGCTCGTTCCTAGCTGCGATTAATTAGGCAGAGAATGAGGCAGTGTCCGGTATGCGAGTTTATTGCTCTGCAGAGGGGTACTCAATGTTTCAAAGACAAAGAGCTCCCCAGATCTGAGTTCGATAGTACTCTTTATGTTAACAGGTCATACATATGCAAATATAAGTATACATAGGCATAAGGCATATATGCGCGTGCATCTTTGGGGAATTTCTACAAGTCTGGGGTCCTTCTACGTGCTGTTGCTGGGTTGCAGAAGGCAGAACAGGGCAAGCTTAAGCCGATTGAAGTTGGTTTGGTGGTCTCCAAACTTACTGTCAATCAAGGGGGGGTTTCAAGCTTCTGCTTTTAATAGGTCATCTCCTGCTTCCCTTTTTTATTTATGGTTGTTTTTCTTACAGCCCCCCAGTTGGGAAACCTGGAGTCCTGGGCTGTTTATCCTTTCCCTAACCTGCCAGCTCCCTCCGCAGCCCAAACAATACTGCAGGCAAGGAGGCGAGGGGAACTGGAGTGCCTAGAAAGCTGCTGGGAAACGAAAGCAGCGCGTCTGTGGGAAATTCTCCGTGCGGGGCCTCAGCGTGCAGAACCAGCGGCTGGAACCGAATCTGCAAGAGGGAGCAGACAGGACTGCAGCCTCGTAGCCAAAGGCAAAAAGGTACAGTCACCACCAGCCCTGTAGGGCAGGCTGTGCTCTGTGGGGCCTGCCTGGGAAGATCTAGCCCCAGCAAGCTAGTAGCATGGCTTTGCTGCTCCCCAGGTATGGGAGCACTGCCCAGGCCCTCGGCTTCAGCATAAGGCCAGGCTGCTCCTGGCCCTGGTATTCCTCCTCGCTCTGGGGGAGCTTCCACAAACACAGCTGCTGTCTCAGGCTGGATATTTTTAAAGGCTCCAACTGGGATTTTCAGAGTCCTTTAAAAATCCCACTTGGTGCCTAGCTGCATCTGTAGGGAACTCAATGCTGTCCAAAACTTAGCTCTCCCTGCTCCACCAGGCCTTCTGGTCACTGCCAGCCCCAGCCACCTGGGACTGCCCCATCTCTGAGTTCATATCCTGCGTCCTCTGAATATGGGTTTCTAGGTCGCACTTATATTCCAGTTCCCGTCTCTGCTAAAATTCCCTGGCACTATGGGACCCCATGGCCTTTTCTTTGGGCACTTCCTTGAAAACGGGCCTTGCCCCACCACAGCCTCCAGGGAAAAGGTGGCAGTGAGAGGAAGAAATATTCCTTGCTGTGGTGCTGTTGCTGGGCTTCTGCAGGGTTTGTAGTGAGTGCAAATCTTCTGGCTGGCGGTTGTGGACAGCTGTTTCCTCCAAACAGCACAGGTCACTTCAGTAGCATGCCTCGGCCAGAGCGTGGGCATGTCACGAGCCTCCACTCATGAAAGCTTGTGCTGTATCTATATCTACTTTGGTTAGTCTATAAGGTGCAAATCTACCCTGCCTTCTGCATTACACAAGGTTTCACAGTCAGGTGTAGCACTGTACTGGCCGTGCCACTTCCCAGTCAAAGACCTCAACAAGAGGCAGAAAGCAGGCGTTTGTCCCCTCCGACCATGCAGAAGGCTCAGCTCAGCAGTGCCTATACCAGCATTTCTCAACCTATGGGTCGCGACCCAAAAGTGGGTCACAAGAATATACGAAAGGATTGCGAACAAACTTTAAAAATGAATTAATGAACTTTAAAATGGATTCTGCTTTAAAGAGAAAAATGCGGGGAAACTGTGGCTTTTTCCTTGAAGGCTGGCAGAGTTCCAGCCTGCAAGGGGCTGCTTGGGACCCCCCATGCCCCACACACTGGGGGCCTGGGGGTAGGAGGCATCGGGTCGGGAGTGAGGGGCACTAGGTCAGGACTGGCCATTGATGTTTACAAATGGGTCCTAGTACAAAAAAGGTTGAGAACTACTGACCTATGCCACTGGAAATCACTACCACCCCCCCATCCCAAGGGACTTACCCATCTCTGGAGCCCTATGCCTGTCCCCATTGCTTTTTCAGAGCTGGCCAGGAGGTGGCAGCATGCTCTTGCTGCAGATTGCTCTCCACTTTATTGCCAGGTGGGCACCTCGCCTGTGTTATTGCATAGATGCTCAACACTGCATTGAAGTGTGCAGCTGTAGGTGGGGAGCGCACTGCACTGGGGGTATTGTGTCATCTGCAAAATTAGGAGGGGACTTGTGGAAGCTGGCTGACTAGGGGAGACCCGTGGTCCATCTCATCTACCACCCATCTGTGATGGTGGCTAGAGCAACAATTCTTACCCAAAATACTGCAGGACCCTGGGGTGCTATGAAATCCTTTTGAGGACACTGGAGTGCTGTGTAATATTAGCACTGTTACGTGTGCAAGCGCCTACACCTGATTTATAATTTATAAGCCCTGCAGGGTTGTACGACCAAGGAGGATGCACCTCAAGAA